TAGATCGTCTAAGGAGGTGATTCGGAAGCGGGCAGAGTTAACAACATCACAAATCTTCCAGTCACAGTCAGTGATATTAGCTATCCAATCCCAACCAGATTTCAACGCGATCATCCTATCCAGAACATTATTGGTCCACAAGAAAGCGGGGTTCAGCCAAGAAGTCGAAGCAAAGATGTCAATGAGTGTCTCTACTCGTGCTTCATATCCCAAATTGAACCAAAGAATGTGTACATGGCTCTAAATGAACCGAGTTGGGTAAATGCAATGCATGAAGAACTAAATCAGTTTGAGAAGTTGAGAGTATGGCAGTTGGTAGAGCTACCAAAGGGCAAGAGGTCTTTGGATACACATTAGGTTTTCAGAAATAAACAAGATGATAGCGGAGTTATTGGGCGCAACAAATCTCGTTTTGTCGTTCGTGGATTCAGGAAAATAGAGGGTCTTGACTACACCGAAGTGTATGCTCCTGTGGAGCGTTTGGAAGTCATTCCTATATTCCTAGCATATGCTTCCTACATGGGGTTTACAGTTTATCAGATAGATGTCAAGACAGCCTTCTTGTACAGAGTCGTGAAGCAGGAGATTTATGTTGATAAACCACCAAGGTTTGTCTATCCAAAGTTTCCAAATCATGTCTACAAACTGGACAAGGCTCTATATGTTTTGCATCAGGCTCCTAGAGCTTGGTATGCTACCCTAACTGAACATTTTCTTGAGCACGTGTACACAAGGGGAACGATCGATCATACATTATTCATCAAGAAAGTGGATGCAGATTTGATTGTCGTACAAATCTACGTAGACGACATCATTTTTGGGTCGACCAGCACAGAGTTGTGCAAAGAGTTCGAGGATGTAATGAAGAAAAGATTTTAGATGAGCTCGCTGGGTGAAATGACAATGTTTCTAGGGTTGCAAGTTCTACAGGATTCGGCCGGAATTTTATTACATCAAGGCAAATATGTGGAAGACATGCTAGAAAAGTTTGGTTTTAAAGATTCAAAAATTGATTCCACTCCAATGGCAGAAATACCAGTGTTGACTCCAGATCCAGATGGGGAATCCGTAGATCAAACTGAATATCGATCGATGATCGGATCTCTGATGTATCTAACTGCTAGCAGACCTGACATCATGTTTGTCGTCTGGCAATGCGCTCGTTATCAGGCTAATCCTAAACTTTCCCATTTAATTGTTGTTAAAAGGATTTTTAGGTACCTTTAAGGTAGCCCTAAATTGGGTTTTGGTATCCTAAAAATCCTGATTTCGATTTATATGCTTTTGCTGACAGCAACTATGGAGGTTGTGGTATTGACAGGAAATCTACATCGGGTGGATGTCAGTTCTTAGGGGACCGATTGGTGTCATGGCAATGCAAGAAATAGCAAAGGGTGTCGACCTCAACGGTTGAGGATGAATATGTCGCCGCCTCAGCCTGGTGCTCACAGGTTATCTGGATTCAACACCAATTGTTGGATTACGGTTTGAACTTTCTTGACACCTCCATTTTTTGTGATAATGATGCGGCCATTCAAATTGCCAAAAATCTCATTCAACATTCAAAAACCAAGCACGTTGACATTAAACTTCATTTTATTCGAGACTGTTATGAGCATAAGCTCATTCGTTTGGAATAAATTCACATTGATAACAACGTGGCGGATTTGTTCACCAAACCTTTCAGTAAAGCTCGTTTCGATGTGCTTGTGGGTTTCTAAAAATGATTTGTTTCAAAGATTAATTTTTGTTTTTATTTTTATTTTTATTTTTATTTTATTTTTGTGTTTAAATTTGCGCATTTATTTTATTTCATTTCTTCCCTATGCATAAATTTAGGGGGAGAAATCAAAAATTATGAAATTATAAAATCAAAATTTCATAAAAATTATAAAATCAAAAATTCCAAAAATTTGTTTTCTTTCGTAAGTGTTTTTGGGAAGTGATATGAAGTTTAGTGTTAAAGGGCAATCTGAAATACGTGTAATGCACTGAAGCTAAACTGTTTAGACTTTGTTTTCAATGTGCTGGTAGGCACGAAAGATTCAAAATGAAAGGCTAGACACTGTTCACAATGAAAGTACTTAATAGTGTTAACTCATCTGGACTTAGATAGTTACATTTGGACTGACCATACGACGCTCGGATAGTTTGAGCAGTGAGATAAAGAAAGGGAGCCTGTGGGATACATTAAAGTTACTTGTTATCTAGAACTGTGGATTAACATTTCTTCGACGTACGGACTTATGTCCTTAATTATGGTACTGAGAGGGTGACTGGGGTTCTGATAAAGTGGGTCGGTGTGAATTTGTTTTTCTTTCTTATCCTCTATTACAGTCATATGTTGCCCCCTTTGCGTGATTGGAAGAGATCCGACCTGGGACGCAGCATATACACTTCTATTTTTATACATCTCTATCTATTTATGTCAGTCATATGTTGCCCCTTTGTGTGATCGGAAGATCCGACCTGGGACACAGCATATGCACCCTTTTATCTCTTTATCCATCTATCTATGTTATTCATATGTTGTCCCTCTGCGTGATTGGAAGAGACCCGACCTGGGATACAACATATGCATCTCTACATTTGTCTTCTCTCTCAAATAATTGAGCACTCACCTAAAGTAAAGAGCTCTTTGGAATTCCTTGATTGCTAGGGTATGCCGTAAATTGGGGAACACCTTCTAGTGAGCTCAAAATTGAATTGGTTCATGATTAAAGGTTGTCTGTAGATCTCGCTGCTGAATTTAAATGGACAACAATATCTTTGGTCTTCGTCAGCAAAATGGTCTATTTAGGAATATAATCACAATGTCTTTTCATTTATAATCTATCCAACCTATCAATATCCTTTGTGTTTAAGTGGATCACAATATTGGTGATTGACCAGAGCTATTCATGCAGGTGTGTGCTGAGAAACAATATTAAATTGCTTAATAATTTTTGATCCCAAAATGTTTTGAATTTAATAATTTAAGTGTGTTTTGTTTTGTTTTCTTTATTTTATTTTATTTTTATTTTTATTTTTAAATTGGTTAAATTTTATTTTTATTTTTATTTTTTTTATTTTTATTTTACTTTTATTTTCAATTTACATTCATTTAAAATTTTAAGCTTTAAATTTCAGTTTTATTTTATTTTAATTTTAATCTAAGAAATGAATCATGGAAATAAATTTAAATGTTTGTTAAATGGTTTTATTTTGGGGCCCACCGAATTCAGTGGCCCAAAGGGCCGAGAACCCAGTGTTAGGGTTTAAAAGGGATTTTGTTGTTCATTTTAACATAACCTCCACCGAAATCAGTTCCTTTTCTCTCAAAAACCAAAGCGGAACTCATTTGTTCATCTTTTCATCTCGGTTCAAAATTCATCAAATTCCGTTTGATTACCTACAATTTTCACTAGGTATATAGATTTCGAGTAGCATGTTTCACTTTTTATGCCATTTTGAAGTTTTTGCAGGTGCGTAAAAGGGTTTTTTCGGCAAACTGATGGTGGTTTCCGGCGATTTCATCGAAGTTTTAAAAAAATTCAAAAAAAAATCGGCTTTTCGGTTTGACCCGAATTCGACCAAGGTTGACCGAAAACGTTTGGTCAAAAGTGTTTTTACCGAAAACGATGGAAACCTTAACCTTGACCGAAAATGCCTGAAGTAGTGTCCTTGACCGAAATCAACTTACCTTGACCGAAATCGACAATATTGACCAAACTTTAAACTTTTTGAGAAAAATAAATTTTAATTTTAATTTTTAATTATAATTTTTAATGTTCTCACTTAATTCGTTTGGTGCAGATAAATGGCGGAGTAGTTGAAATTTGTTGATTCTCACAACATCGCAAGATATCGCTCGGATCCACCTGTCGTGCATAATAAATTCAAATCCATGATCATGGGTTTGAACAGTTGCAGGATTTCCCACGCTTTGCGTTCTAATCCAGTCATCTACAAGGACCTGATTACTGAGTTCTGTAAAAATGCTTCAATCAACAGGCATGGAGCAGATGGAGCTGGTACTTTTGAATCAATGGTGAAGGGAACTCGAGCAATTTTTTCTAAGCAAGTTATCCGAGAAGTACTTGAATTTGGTGATGCCTTTGCTTTTCCAATTGAGTACCCTACTGATCAAGTGAAGGAAGTCCTTGAGAAGATGTGATATGAAGGAACCTATCCTCCCACCATCAAGAAGCAGCTTCCACCTTACTGGAGGTTTTTGGCACACTGCTTTGTGATTTGCATTTCTGGACGGAAGGGAGGATCAGACGAGATTATTCAGACCGCGATCTAAGCTATTGTCGCTTTAGAAATGAACTGGGATTACAAATTTTCGAAGTTTGTTTTTGAGGAAATGAAAAGGAGCCTCCAGGGGAAGAAGAAGGATCTGTTCTTGATGTACCCTAGGTTTCTTCAAATGATCCTGAATGAAAAATATCAACAGGTCAAAAGGTCGCCTGATACTTTGGACATGAAAGCTTTGGGTCCCAACACCTTTGGGCTCATGAAGCAATCAAGAAAAGCTACCAAAGCCACCTATCAAGGATTGAAGGAGTTGGTTAAGTTTGGAAAGTTTGCTGAAGTTGAAGATACTCCTGCTGCTAGTTCCATTAATGTTGAGGTTGTCAAGGAACACGTGGCACCTAAACCAAAATTTCAATTTGCATTTGAAGAGGTTGAAATTTCTGATGATGATGATGATGATGATGATGATGATGATGATGATGATGATGATGATGATGTTAATGATGATGATGATGATGATGGTATGGATTTTCGTATATTTGTACCATCAAAGGAGTCGGTCAATGAGGTTGTGATATCTCCAGCTGAGACTGAGAAAGAGATAACATTTTCAAACAATCAAACGATCCAACCCCTGAACAGATGGATGCTCTTATTGTAGAACTTCAGCGAACTGCGAGGAAGCCTCCCCAAGCAGTTCCTGTTATAACTGAACCTCCATCCGAGATGATCAACAAGATTCAACTCACGTCCTTGTCCCGATGAAAAGAAAAAGAAGAGATCCAAGGTCGGGAGTGCTTATCTCAGACCAAGTCCAAAAGGAAGTTTCAAAGATTGAGCCTGATTCTATGACTCAAAACATACCAAGCCCTGTCACTGAGTCCATTCCAGTGATTCAAGAGATTTCAAGCATGTTGCCTGAGTCTACTCCTATGTATAAGGACTTTCAAAGCCCTATTATTGAAGAAGTAGTTTTTCCTTTGAAGGTGCTCAAGCTTCTGGAAGCTCCTTTGAAGCCCCTGAGATGGATATTTCAAAAGGCAAAAGCAAGCTGCCTGAGTCTGAATTTGTGGATCTTGCTCTGCTTCATAAAAGAGTTTTTGATTTGGAACAGAGCTCAGCAGAAAAGGATTTGATTATTGGAAAGCGGGACATTAGAATCAGTGATTTTGAAAAGGAGAACTCCATTAAAGATGCAAAGATTTCAGAACTTCAAGCAAATCTTGGTGGTCTAACTGCTTTATTCTTTAATCTAAACCAACGCTTACATCAAAAGTTTGGTGATGATTTTCAACCTTTAAGCGTTGAAGGATAAAAGATTTTTGCTTCTAGTTCTGGTCCAGTCAGTCCACCTTCTCAACCTGCAAGTGAAAGAGTTGTAAGACCTGCTCCGGATGCAGTTCTTGACACATTTTTATCTTTAGGTCCTTCTTATGCTCAAGAAAGAAGAGAGAAACAAATATGGATTGATCAGTTGAAAGGGAAGATTCTAGTGATGAAGCATTCAGACCAAAATGCTCCATGTGATCACCCTGAGATGTTTCTCAGGGAGACTGGGAAGAAGTTTACAGATAAATATGGGGACCGCTCTGGCATTCGTATATGGGGATATGAAGCTGATAAGAAAATGTGGGTCGTAAAGCGTAAGAGCGGATGAATTGAGTATTATGAGAAGAATGTCGACTTTCTGTCCTGGATAAAAGTTGATCTTTCTGAACTTGTTCACGCTCCTTTCCACAATCCAACCAACGATCTCGCGATCTGGTCTTTTAAACAGCTTTTTGAGGATAAAGCTAAAAATAACTTTGAAGGCATGAAGACTCCTTCGTCATTTATGAAAAAGGCCAAGGGTGTCATTGATCCTCGAACTAATAAAACCATGGTGAATGTTATATGGCCGCCTACAAAGCAAGCTCAAAGGATTCCGCTTCCCAAATGTTTACCAGAAGGCACTTTGGACTTAATGTAATTTTGGTTTTATGATGAGGCTACTGCAACAGTGGTCATCAAGATAAAGAAGAGCCAGTATCGCATTGTCGACCCCAAAGACTTGTTGAAGTTTTGTGAACGTGATATCCGAACTTTGTCAAGCTTTCAAATAATTATTGAGAATGAATTGTTTGAATCTTCCGCAAAAGAATTCACCGGAATGGTTGCTACCATAATTGAACAGAAGTTGTAGGCTGGGGCATTTGATCAGGCAGACGTGCATCTCGTGGAGAAGCCTTGAAGTTAGTCAGCAATAGCCAGCAATAAACCAAGGGGGAGATTATTGGGTCATATTTAAATGGTTTATGTTGGGCTTATTGTTAATTATTGTATTTGGGCTTAGATATATTTGTGCAAATGGGTTTGTATGTGTTCTCGGTTAGATTGACCAAAAAGCACCTAGTGATTTCGGTTATACATGGGCTTTGGTCTTAATAGGCTTTGTATTAGATTCATATATATATATATATATATATATATATATATATATATATATATATTATATATATATATATATATATATATGTTTAGCCGTGTGAGGTTAAGAGTTGTTCGTTCATTAGTAATTGACTGTGAAAGTACTCTCTTGTACCAGACGATTTATTGATAATAGAATCGTATGCATTTGAAGTTATTTTGTGTGCTCTTGAGTCGTTGCTTGATTAACATTCCGCATTCTTTAAGCAATTAAGATTGATATCGTATAAGATCCATAGTTTTTGAGACTTACACCGACCTCTGTATTTAGTTCGCTCACAGCATAGCTCTAATACCAACTTGTGACATCGTGATTTTTACCCAAAAAAATCCAGTTTTATTTAACACTTTTTAACAAAAAATGCAACGGAAGTATTTTATAAAATTCATACTTTACACAAACCACACATTACCATCTTTCAAAATGCACAATGTACAAGAATCAAGTGCTAGTCCCTACGGAGTGACTTAATAAAAGTTGCATACAGTTGTAGGGAAACTGTACAATTCCCAAACGAGTCAACAATTCAATTTATGACATAACAACATTAAGCACAAATACTTCTTACTGACATATACAATACATATAACAACATATTGATGACGTATCACCAAAAGCATCGTATATCACCAAAAATAATAGATTTTACCAAAAGCATATCACAAAAGGTATCACATATCACTTAAAGCATATCACTGAAAGCATATCACCAAAAGAAATAGATATCACCAAAATCACACACATATCACCAAAAGCATCCTATGATAGGCATGACTCTTTATACACATCCTATCCAAAGGTAACTACCCAGTTCACTACTCGTGTGCTCATATTATTGAATGCTATAATTGGGTCATGACTTCCACCCAAATCACCAACCCCAGACACCCCTTTCTCTACTCCGACTATACAAAACACAAGTGTTCTACGGTGTCGTTCCAGATTTGGTACCAATGTGTCGTACATCTATAATACCTCCCAATTCAATCTGATGTTTGTACTAGTCCTCCATGGTAGGGCCACACCACTCCAGTCCACGAACATTGTAGTGACAGTGTACATGTACCATGTGTCGTGGGATCTTCTAGATAGATCGGAAGACTTACACAAATATGGCTTAAGCTCTTTCTTATATGTCATCTTTCAACCTAATAGGTCACCAAAAGTATCTAGATAGGGTTTAAGGAAAGTGTCATAAACTATCCAACCCACTATGAAACACCCCGTAAAATTCAACAAATCATCATATTAAGCATTCATTTTCATACAATCAATTAATATCATCATATTCACCAAATTCATCAACAAATCACCAAAGCATAGCCAACTATCATCATTTTAATCAAATATACGCTAGCATACCATAAACATCATAATCACCAAAATTGATTCAAATATCAATTTAGACCCTAAGCATGAAAAGTAGCAAAACAAGCATATCAAATTAGCATATCATATTCAAATACTATGGAATGGCTAATTTAGACAAAGTGAACCAATGATCCATATATGAAATGTATTTTTCAACTTATGCACATTTAGGGAGTAAAACTAATAACTCACTGTAACGCCTGTAGATCCGGGCTAGTCAATTTAGAGATAATAGGGGTCGAAAACGACTTTTCGACAAAAGATTATTTAGAATAAATAATCTTAACCAAGTTGTAGAATACGTCTCAAGGTTTCCGTACATATAAAGAACGCCGAAATCCGAGTTATAACGAAGAAGTTATGACCCCTCGAAGTTTTATGGCAGAACCGGCACGGCACTGGGAGACGTAAATAGTGAATTTACGATATAGCGACTTTTAGCCTTAGCGATCTAAACGAAAGTCGTAGAAAATGGTAACCGAGAACATACAGAAAAGTACGCCCAAATCTGACTCCGTATGACGAAATTATGATTTTTCAAAGTTTCGTCTTAGCGGTGCACAACCCGAAATTCGAATATTAGAACAACCAGTTTTTAGCCGACACAACCTAAACGAGAATCGAAGATCTCGTTATTTGTAGCGTAACGATAAAAAGACAGACGAAAACGGACGTCGGATGAAGAAGTTATGAATTTTCAACGGACCAATCCTGTCTCGGCCTATTAAAAATATAACATTTAAAATCGAGTCAAAATAAGCCGACGGAGTCTAAACTAAAGTTGTAGAGTACGTTCCCGCCTACGCGTGGATATAAATAACGTCGAAAACGGAGCTCGTATGCGAAAGATATGATTTTTAGAAGTCGGAGTGTAAAATTGCGAAATCTGCGAGAAGTTGATGACGTGGCCGTATCTGAGCCGTTGCTTGCCGACCAAGGCTTCGCTTCGGATCAAGCCATGTAGCCTCGCATTACGCCCCGCATACGAGATCCGGTACGCCCCGCGTACCTTCGGCCGTATCCTTCCGACGAGTGTGAGACAGCTGGATCCGAGGTGGCACCTTATCCGAAGCCTACGCCCCGCGTAGACTGCTGGACGCCCAGCGTAACCGTGGCTGCTAGCCCCTATAAATAGATGCGAAGGGTTCCGAGTTTTTCACACCTTTCTTCACTCTCTCTCTAAAATCTTTCTCTCTCTAGGGTTTCTAACCCTCCCCTAAGCCTAGGTGAACCCCTAGCACCCGAAGGAAGCCCCGAGGCTCCCGGACTCCCGAGAAAAAGGGACTTTCGGTTTCGGAAACGCTGCTCCGAGCAAAGCCCGGTTTTCTTTAAAATTCGCTGTAAGTGAGCTACGCCTACGCAATTTTTAATATAAATTTTAAATTATTATAGTAATGTTATTAGGTCCTTAAAATAATTATTTGGGCTATTATTATGTGTTATATTGAGTGTTATTTAACGCTTATATAATAATAATAATAGCTAGACTATTAATTAGTCGCGGTTAACGTTAAAACTAAACCCTAGTGGTATTTATACTAGGTTTTGTCGAGGGAAATTGTTTTAAGAAGTAACGAAGCGCTGTTCAAGTGCAGAGTCACCACCTAATCAAGTGAGTGCATAGTTACTTTCAGCTTACACATAGATATGAAGTATTCTATATAAATTACGTGTTGTGTGTGCATATTATCTGTATACTTGCTATCTATGTTGGATGAACAATTTTATACCTGATTTAAATGATTTAAACCGTATATGTATTTTATATCTACAAAATGTGTTGGGTAAAACATGGGTAGATGAAATATGAGTTGAATGATGAGATGAGGGATGAATTAGACCATGAGGTAAGGGTGAGAGGTGGACGATGCGAGAAGCCTTTTTCAAATGATGGCCCCGTCATTCAGCAGAGTATGGATGACAACCACGGACTATTCTAGACAGTCCAGTGGAACACTAGCAGGCTCGCAACCTGTAGGTGTTGTGAACGATGTGTTCACCCGGTGTACTCTAAACCCTTGTGATCATGCAGACTTGATGCCTAAACCTTGGTGATCATGCAGACTTGATGCCTAAACCTTGGTGATCATGCAGACTTGATGCCTAAACCCTAGCGACTATGCAGACTTAGTGCCTGTTGTGAAAACCGTGGCAACGATGGACTTCGTGCCGATTCCTTAGGATGATCCTTAGGAATGAATGAACGAGGAATAGTTGATTCTTAGGGTAGATCCTTAAGAGTAAAGAAGATAATGGGGATGGGTAATTGGGTTAATTGTTTGATGATTAAACATAATAATTATATTATTGTGGGTTGAAAACCCTATGTACTCACCAGGTTTCCCAACCTGACCCACTCAGTTTATTTGTATCACAGGTGTCGATGTGAAGTTACTTTACACTGAGAGATTTAAAAGAGATGTAGATCACTAGTGTAAATGAATGTAAGTTCTGTTTATGCTTCTGTTTCTGTATTG